TTATTAGAACTCATGAAATAACTCACACTGGACAGAACCCAATCTAGCAAAGAAATACAAGAAAGCATGCAACTTTCCCAGTTCTCTTTGAAACTCAGAAAAAAACTTGTACCAGAAGCAAAACATGAATGTAAAAAAATGTGTTAAAAAACTTGATTTTCCTCTATGCTTTCAAAGACATATTCACATTTAATATGGAGAAAAATGACATAATCTTAGGAAACATGGTAAAGCCTTCAGCTTTTTTATTTCTTTGAAAACATGAAAGGATTCAATGGGAAATTCCTTATAAATAGAAACATGTGGTAAGGTCTTCAGTTGTTCCAGTTCCACATGAAGATAAGAACTCATTTCTGAAATAAAACCTATGAATGTGTAGAATGTAGAAATGCCTTCATTTACATGATATTTGCTCCAAGACCCATGATAATACACAATGGAGATAGACCTTATAAATACAAGAAAGCACATTGGATTGGAACCCTAGCAGATTACCAAATACAGAAAAGTTTACAGTTTTAAGAATTTCTTCAACATTGTTGTGAAAACTTTCCTTAGAGGGAAATCCTACTAATGTTCATAAATTGAAAAGCCTGATGCAAATTCATTCTTGTATAATCTTCAAAAAGGTACATAAGTAAATGTTATACTACTTCTATTTTGTTTCTCAGTGATTCTTCATTTGAGTGTCTCTCTGTACTTACTTCCGCTTCTTTTGCAAGAAAACATTGAGGTTACAATTTTATAGATACGTTTTAAACAATATTATATGCATTTAATAGGCAGTATTTTTTTGTTAAGTCAGGTATCAACACTTTTCACTAGTTATTTAAAAATATCACACTGAGCTACTAGAATGACTCCAAATTCTGTTTTGAAACACATGCAGGTGGGTTCCTATCCTAATGTCCAAACGGGGTATGGCTGCTTGCAGTCCATTCTGAATCCAGCACCCCAAGTTTGGGATGAGGAGAAAGGTGACAGCCTCCTCTGTACTTGTGCAGCTGACTCGGGGCTCATTCTTGAACATTCCATTGCACAACTCAGACTTCATGCTCACTCCCCCAAGGCACTGCAATAGTGATCAGATGACAGAAATGATGGATGCCATTTATTAGCTGTCACTATTACAGGGCAGGAATACTCTGTACAACTCCAATGGTAGAAAGATCAGAGAGAGACATCTTGGCTAAACTAAACTCATTTTATGAGATGCCTTCTGGCAGGATGCCGGCCTTACAGTGTTTCTCCTGAGTTGAGTTAGAAATGAAACCCCAAGGTGCTCAGCATCTGTCACCCCTGGCCACAACAGAATGTGGGGATGAGTTGAATGCACTGAAAGGGGAAACAGGCTGGAAGCAGCCCTCTGCTGCATGATTATTCACCTGTCCTGGCCAAACGTTTTGTTTTTGTTTCTGTTTTTTTGAGACAGGGTCACCCAGGCTAAAGTGCAGTGGCATGATCCTAGCTCACAGCAGACTCAACCTCCCAGGCTCAAGTAACCCATGCACCTAAGCCTTTCAAGGCTTGGAACTACAGGCTCATGCCACTCAGCTGGGAGATTTTTAAAAATTCTTTTTGTAGAGACAGGGTCTCACTTTTTGCCCAGGCTGGTGTTAAACTCCTGTGATCAAGTGGATACTCCCATCTGGGCCTCCCAAAGTGCTGGTATTACAGACATAAGCCACTGTATCCAGCACTTGGTCAAATGTGTAAATACAGAACTAGAGTAATCTTATCACTCTCATAGTAATCACTGTAAAGACTTAATTGTATAAAAACAATACCTCAACAGCACATTTGGTTTCTTGCTTTTAAAGTTTCAATGTTTTATCCACTGGCTACGTCTACAAATGCTTGAAGTTCTCTGGTATGGAAAGCAGTTAGGATATAAGCAGATATGTGGTTTTCTCATTGGTTTCACTGAAAACCCAGCTGAAACTACTTCCAACATTAATTTCCTATTCATATAACCACAAGGCTATAATGGGAATGTCAATCAGATATGTGAATAATCAGCTGACCAGGACTTAATTTACTATAGGACTATATGCACTTCATAACCTCTTTTCTGTATTTCCATAAACATATTTTAACTGTGTAAAATATGGTATTTCACAGAATGATCAAGTTTATTAATAGTAGTTATTGAAGAAAACAATTATCCCTACAGAGTATGTATCTTCTTAGTTTTGGTTGTTTTTTAAATGGCTGAATAGTGTACCCTTTACAAGCACAACAAATTTTCAGACTAGAAGCTGCTCAGTTTAACATATATGTATGTGAGTGTGTGTATGTGTATATATATAAGTTGTTTATCAATAATGTCTTTAAATTTTATTTCAATCGTTTTTGAGGAACGGGTGGTTTTGGTTACATGGATAATTTCTTTAGGAGTGACATCGGAGCTTCTGGTTCACCTACCACTTGAGCAGTGTACCCAATATGTAATCTTTAACCCATCACCTCCCTTCCAACCTTCCTCCCTAGTCCCCAAAGGCCACTGTATCATTTTATGACTTTGGATTCTCATGAAGAACACATGATATTTGGTTTTCCATTCCTGAGTTACTTCACTTAGAATAACGTCCAGCTCCATCCAAGTTGCTGTGAAGGCCATTATTTCATTCTGTTATGGCTTAGCAGTATTCCACGGTATATATATTCCAAATTTTCTTTACCCATTAATTGATGGGCATTGAGGCTGGTTCCACATTTTTACAATTGCAAACTGTGCTGCTATTAACAAGCATGTGCATTTGACTTTTTCATATGACTTCTTTTCCTTTGGGTAGATACCCAGTGTGAGATTGTTGGATTGAATGGCAGTACTGTTTTCCACAGTGGTTGTACAAGTTTACATTCCCATCAGCAGTGTAAGTGTTCCCTTTTGACCAAATCCATACCAGCATAGATGATTTTTTGATTTTTTAATTATGGCCCATTCTTGTAGGAGTAAGGTGGTATTACATTGTGGTTTTAATTTGCATTTCCCTGATAATTAGTGATGCTTCTGAAGACAAATACATCCTAACAAGACTAACAGATGTTGGAAAGTTTGAAGAAAAATCTGATAGACACTAATTTTTAAAAGGTTCAATTTACAGTCAAAAAGAGACCATCATAAATAATCAACAGCAGAGGGACAAGATATTTGTCCATTGAACACTTTGTTGTAATGTTTTTCAATCTCCAAAGATTGTGAGCATAGCTCCTCTTCAGAGCATAGCTCCTGATACTTCTGCGTTCACAAACGGCACTATGTAAAACTGGTCATCTTGGGGCTGGCCTCTGTCATCACTGCCTCTGGAGCTCATATCTGTGGACACCTGCACATTTCCCTGTGTATTCTCTGACCTTGGAACTAGAGCTAGAGCCCCACCAGATTAGCTGCAGGTCTTGAGGTCAATCTAACTGCCACTATAGTGAAGCTGAGTGTTCATTATTACAAATTTTGCTCCCTTCAAGAAACCAGTTTACAAGCTGGGCACAGTGGCTCATGCCTTTAATCCCAGCACTTTGGGAGGCTAAGATGGGTGGGTCATCTGAAGTTGGGAGTTCGAGATCAGCGTGACCCATGGAGAAACAACATGGAGAAACCCCTGAAGAGGGAAATTAAATAATAACAATAGTGGTCTGTAATTGCTACATAATAAACTTTACTCTGTTGTGTTCAATATAAAACCTAACCCCCAGCTCTGCTTGAAATTAACTAACTCCCTATAAAATCTACCTTAACTACTCTCCCCACTTTCTCAGCAAAGTTCCCGGGCATCTCAAGACTCCCATTTTTCTTGCAGACCAGCTGCAAGGTCACAGGGTAATATAACACCCAAAGAATGTGCAATGTGTTTCTCAGAATGTGATTTTCAAACGTAAAGTATATCACAAGACATGTCACAAGTTAACTGTTCTTTCCTCTGGCTTCTGTAAACCTGTAATCTGCTATGTTATCCTGGCTGTATAACAAATCAAGCACTGTCTTTGTTAGGCTCTCAGCCTTGGGATTCAATCCGCTGAGCTGGTGGCTACCTTAATAAAATCCTCCTCTTTCACCCATTGGTCTCTCCAGTCTCCTGAATATTATGCAACACCCTATCTCTACTAAAAATAGAAAACTAGCCTGGTGTGGTGGCACATGCCTGTAATCCCAGCTACTCAGGAGGCTGAGGCAGGAGAACTGCTTGAACCCAGAAGGCGGAGGTTGCAGTGAGCCAAGATCATGCCATTGCACATTGTTGCCTAGGTAACAAGAGCAAAACTCTGTCTCAACAAAAAAAAAAAAAAAAAAAAAAGGTAAGAAACCAGTTTACAGATTGATGACAGTAGTGATTAAGAGAACTTTAGCTTCTGCAACTTTCAAATGACATTCATTTTCTGTTAAATCCTTTACTAAAATGGCTACTAGCAACATCACCATGACAACTCAGTTTATACTACTGGCAAAGTGGTAACTTAGCAGCCATTTGAACAGCAACCAACCATCACTAGTCTCTTCTTGGTTACAAGAAGCCTCATTTCAATTGTAAATATACACTGTGTTAATTCTGAATGAAAGTCTTTAAAAATTTTGGAGTGTACATTGTAGGTGTACGTATTTATGGGGTATATAAAATTATTTGATACAGGCCTATAATGTGGCATAATCACAGCAGGGTAAATGGAAAATCCATCGCACCTCAAGCATGTATCCTTTTATTTTGTTTTTTTTTAAATAAATAATTCAATTACACTTTTTTAGTTACTGTAAAATGTACAATTAAATAATTCTTGACTGTTGTCACCCTGTTGTGCTACCAAATACTAGATGTTATTTATTCTTTCTTTTTTTCTTTAACATAAGAACACTTTTATTTTAATCACTTAACACTTGTGTAGTATTCAATTTTGAGACTGAAACACTTGTTTCCCTTTCAACCGATTGGGAAACAGTATGAGTTGGCATGGCAGAAGTTAATCCTCACATTATTCAGCTAATGAGACAGAATCCTAAAACCTGATTCTAACTTCTGCCTGTATCCCACAATGCAAGGCAAAGCCTTTCTTTATTTTAATGTTATATAAGTATAAGGACCATATAATCTGGATTCATTAACTTTAGGTAACAATAACTTAAAAGCTAGGGAAAGGTATACAGAGATTTAAAAATTAACTATACAATAAATGATGAAACCTAACAACAGAACACAACAATGTTCAAATAGTGAATACAATTAACAAATGGGGGCAAAAGGTCAACATTTATCTTGCATCATCTTTCAAGCAATGTCTCAGCTTTTTTCTCTCAAACATAAAGGCGGATTAATTCAAAGTGGCCCTATTAAAAATATTTGTTTGTTTCCTTCTGAAATTAATATTTGAATGGAAACTGTATTAATAACTCATGGCTTCTCCTAAATATAAACACAGGTTTTCTTTTCTCTCAAACATAAAGACAGATTAATTCAAAGTAGCCCTATTAAGAATATTAGTTTTCTTACGAAATGAATATTTGAATGGAAACTGTATTTATAACTCATGGTTTCCTACTGAAGCTTAAGATTCCCCTTGATGATGGTCAGATTTAGGCAATGCTAAAATAAGACACTGGGCAATTATTTCAAAGTATGAACTACAGCAAAATCTAAAAAAGGACATGTATAATTTAAAAGTTTCTAATTTAAAAAACATAGTAAATATAAATGAATTAACTCACACAACCTACTTACATACAAACAAAACTAGAATAAACAACAATTTTGCCGCTTAACAGGAGCAAGATCTTAGGTGGGTCATTTTGTTTAAGGATGATTTGAAATTTTACAATACTACCACAGCTCCCACATATGAAAACTCTTCAAGAATCTTATCAACTAGAAGTTGGGGAAACTACAGTGACAAATAAAATGAAACGGCTTCTCACCCATATGAAGGCCCAGATCATGCCTAAATTTCTAGGGATTTAACTTAAGAAGCTCCTTGCCCTGAGAGATTCCTTGATCCCACAACACTCTACTCAGATGGGGCAGAGAATCCCAGAACACTATCCAAGCCACAGGGGAAACACACAACCCATCTTGTATCTGGCACTAACAGACTAATATCTAGCTATACACAGTATTGACTTTAAAGTTGGTTAATGAGTATTTTAATTCATTAAAATAAAAGTTAGAATTACATGCTGAGTCTATACAAGTTTAACTTACTTTAGTCCCTTAGTGAATTGTGAATTGGCTCCTGTTAGTGGTCAGGAGAATGCTTTGTGTTTGGTGTAGAAACCAAATAAATCAAGCTATTATCATCTTTTGAGTACAAACAATGTTTATTTGTAAAGTGCCAGTTTTATACTTAAGTAAACATTAAAATCTGCATTGAAGCAGTGAGACTGCATCTTTCCACTGCCTGTGCTGGTTAAATGAAATGTTTAATCCTGCTGTGTCAAGCTCACTAGAAGCTCACCCCTCATTTTAAAGCCAAGAAGACTATGGTAAGTCACAGCCAGCCAGCCTGCTAGCAAAAGGTGATAGCACCAGCATTATAAATAAACAGGACTGGCTGTGAGGTAGCTACAGTTTTAAAGATGATGTTAATGAACATCATGGACAATGCATGGTGTAGCTAGTTGGTAACACTTCGGCTGATTTTTTCATGAGATGGAAAAAAAAATCAGCAAAATAAAGGCACATCTTCAGTTCATTTAGAAATCAGCACCCAAGGTAAAAGAATTCTCTGTTGGACTTGACATCACTCCCATCCTCTGATACTCGCCTACTCTCTTCTCAAAGAAGTTAGTCTTTCCTTCCAGTGAAATATTCTCCATAAAGTCAAATGGATTCTCTACTCTGAAAACCTTGCTAAAACCCAGTTCCAGCATGTCTGTCTGCCACAAACTCAATGTATTGCTTCATTAGAGTGCAATTCATCCCAATGAGCTCCACAGGCAAGGCCTCAGTAAGAAACTCTTGTTCTATCCGAACAGCATTGATAGTTATTTCTCCTACTCTCTCTGATGGTTTGTGTACTAGGTGTTTGAACATCAGGCAAGCAAAATGTGAGTGTAAACCCTCATCTCTGCTAATAAGTTCATGAGAAAATGTGAGGCCAGGCATCAGTCCTCATTTCTTGAGCCAGAATATGGATGCAAAAGAACCAGAAAAGAAGATGCCTTCCACTGCAGCAAAGGCTACAACGCGTTCACCATAGGTAGCCTCTTTGTCCCCAATCCAGCGCAAGGCCCAATCTGCCTTTTTGTTGTCACAAGGCATCATTTCAATGGCATTGAAGAGAAATTCCCTTTCATTGGGATCTTTTATGTAAGTGTCAATAAGGAGACCATACATTTCAGAATGTATGTTTTCCATGGCAATTTGGAAGCCATAGAAACAGCAGCCTTCTGTAATCTGAAGTTCTTGGCTAAATCGCTCCACCAAGTTTTCATTTACTATGCCATCACTTGCTGCAAGGAAAGCCAGAACGTGAGATATAAAGTATCTCTCCTCAGGCTTCAGGGATTCCCAGTGCCGAATGTCCTTGGACAGGTCTACCTCCTCAGCGGTCCAGAAGGAGGCCTCCGCCTTCTTATGCATCTGCCAGATGTTGTGGTACTCGATGGGGAAAATGACAAAGCGGCGAGGGTTTTCTCTTAGCAGCGGCTCATCCTCCACGCCAGGGGCGGCTGCTCTAGTTTTTGGCTTAGCGGGTTCCTGGAATATCCTCCTCGCGGTCTTGCTGGCCAGGACGCGGGTCCCATTCAGCACTGGGGGCGTGTTCTCCTTGTCTACCAGGCTGAGACCCTTCAGCGGCGAGAGCTGCAGCTGCTGCAGGTCCGTGATGGACGCAAGCAGGACGCAGACGGAGAGCATGGTGGCGGTGCGAGGAAGGAGAGCTGGCAATTGGGCCGGGAGGCTGGGAAGGGGCACAGGGCGTTATTTATTCTTTCTAACCAAATGTGTGCACCTATTAACCATCACCCCTTACTCCTCTCATCCTCCATACTACTTTTGCCAGCAGCTGCAAACAATTCTCCTACTCTATATCTTCATGAGTTAAATTGTTTTAATTTTTAGTTCCCACAAATAAGTGAGAATGGGTGAATTTTGTCTTTTTGTGTCTGGCTTATTTCACTTAACATTTCCATCCATGTTGTTGCAAATAACAGGATCTCATTCTCTTTTATGCTTGAATAGTGCTCCATTGTGTATATGAACCATTTTCTTTAGCCACTCATCTGTTGATGAATACTCAGAATGCTTCCAAATCTTGGCTGTTGTGAATAGTGCTGCAACATACATGAGAGGCAGGTATCTCTCTGATATACTGATTTCCTTTCTTTTCGATTTATACCCAGCAGTGAGATTCCTGGACCATATGGTGGCTCTATTTTTAGTTCTGAGGACCTGCGAACTGTTCTCCGTAGTGGCTGTATTTAAATTACATTCCCACTGACGGTGTACAAGGGTTACCTTCACTCTACATCCTCGCCAGCACTTGTTATTACCTGTTTTTACAATAAGAGCCATTTTAAGTACGGTCAGATGATCTCTCATTGTACTTTTGATTTGCATTTCTCTGAACATCAACGATATTGATGTTGAGTATCTTTTCATATGCCTGTTTCCCATTGGTATGCCTTTCTTAAGGAGTTTTCAAACAGGTCTCACTTTGTCAATCAAGTTGGAGTGCAGTGGCAGAATCACAGCTCACTGCAGCCTTGACCTCCCAGGCTCAGGTAATTTTTGCACCTAAGCTTCCTAAACAGCTGAAATTACAGGCACATGCCACCAAGCCTGCCTAATGTGTCCTCTTTTCATAAATGTCTATTCAGAAAATTTGCCCATTTAAAAAATTCGATTGTTATATTTTTTTCCTATGGAGTTACTTGAGCTCCTTAGCATCCTGGTAATTAATCCCTTGTCAGTTTTCAAATACCTTCCCCCATTCTGTGGGTTGTCACTTCACTTTGTTCACTGTTTTCTTTGCTGTGCAGCTTTTTAACCTGATGTGACCTAATTTGCCCATTTTTGCTTTGGTTGTCTTTGCTTAGAAAACATTATGCAAGAAATATTTGCCCAGTCCAATATCATGGAGAGTTTTCCCACTGTTTTATTTTAGTTTTGAATTTGAGGTCTTAGATTTAAATCTGTTTTTAGTTTTTTAAAAGACAGAGATACTGCATTGCCCAGAGAGTCTCGAACTCCTGAGCTCAAGCCATTCTCCCATCTTGGCCTCTCAAAGTGCTGGGATTACAAGTGTGAGCCACCACGCCCAGCTTAGACTTACATCTTTAATCCATTTTGATTTGATGTTTGTATAAGGTAAGAAATAGAGGCCTGGTTTCATTCTTCTGCATGTGGATATCCAGTTTTCCCAGCACCCCTTACTGATGAGACTGTCATTACCCCATTGCATGTGCTTGGCACCTTCATAGAGAATGAGTTCACTGCAGATGTATGAATTGGTTTCTGGGTTTCTATTCTGTTCCACTGGGCTACATGTCTGTTTTTAATCACAGTGCCATGATGTTCTAGTTACTACAGGCGTAGAGGGTAATTTGAAATTAGATAATGTGGGCCGGGCGCGGTGGCTCAAGCCTGTAATCCTAGCACTTTGGGAGGCCGAGGCGGGTGGATCACGAGGTCAAGAGATCGAGACCATCCTGGTCAACATGGTGAAACCCCGTCTCTACTAAAAAAAAAAAAATACAAAAAATTAGCTGGGCATGGTGGCACCTGCCTGTAATCCCAGCTACTCAGGAGGCTGAGGCAGGAGAATTGCCTGAACCCAGGAGGCGGAGGTTGCGGTGAGCCGAGATCGCGCCATTGCACTCCAGCCTGGGTAACAAGAGCGAGACTCCGTCTCAAAAAAAAAAAAAAAAAAAAAAGAAATTAGATAATGTAATTCCCCCAGGTTTGTTTGTTTTTGTTCAGGTTAGCTTTGGATATTCTGAGTCTTTTGTAGTTGCCTGTACATTTTAGGATTCATTTTTTAAATTTCTATTTCTGTGAAGAATATAATTGGTTTTTGCAGAATTGTGAAGGTTCCACATTGGTGGTCTAAGATCAGACATGAAGGAATTCTCTAAATTAGTGGACAAAGACTCGCTGCTTCCCTTACTTTCCCGCAAATGACGTCCGTCTCTCTGTGCTAGGCTACCTGGAGCTAGGAGAGCAGTGATACAAGCACCGCTGTGGCCACGACCCCTGGGACAGCACTAGGTCTGTCCAGACGGCACTAGGTCTGAAGGTGGCGCAGCTCTGTGACTGCACAAGGCCCACTGTAACAACTACCCACTGCCACCACCTATGTCACTCAAGGCTCCAGGTCTCTACAATCAGCAGGTAGTGAAGCCAGCCAGTCCTCTGTCCTTCCCTTAACTGCGGTAAGTTCCCTTGCTCCCTGGATGGGTTCAGAGGTGCTGTCTGGAAGCCAGGGGTGGAGTCATAAACCTCAGACATCTACCTGGTATTCTGTTCTACCATGGCTGAGCTGGCACTGAATCCACCAGAAAAATCCCTTTCCACTCTTCCCTCCCTTTCCCCATGGCAGAGTAGTCTGTCTGCACTCAGAACATCATAGCAGTCCCATGGAGATCAGTGCTAGGTCACCACTGATGTTCATTTAATGCCCAAGGGCTCTCAGTGAGCTTGTGAATGCTGCCTGCCCTGGAATTCACTCTTCAGGGCAGTGGGCTCCCCTCTGGCCCAGGGTAGGTCCAGTGATGCCATTGAAGGACCAAGGCCTGGATCATGGACTCCTACAGCACACTTGGTGCTCTCCTCACTTTAGCTGAGCTGGTATCTAAGCTCAAGAAAAATCCTCTTTACTTTTCCCTCAGCATTTATCCAGCACAGGGAGTCTTTCCTCATAGCCACCACAGCTAGGAATGTGCTGGGTTCCACCTGAAGCCAGCACATCTCTCAGTCTCACTCCAGGCCCAAAGCATGTACTACCTGCTTACCACTGAAGATTCTTCAGGGTCCAAGGGCTCTTTCATCACAAAGTGATGAATCCTGCCATTACTGAGTCCTGCCCTTTAAGGTAGCAGGTTCCCTTCTGGCCCAGAGTTTGTCTAGAGATGTTATCCTGAAGCTGGGACCTGAAATGGGGGTCTCATGATTCTGACCAGTACCCTCTCCTACTGTGGCTGAGCAAGTATCCAAGTTGCAAGACAAAGTCCTCTTTCCTATTTCCTCCCCTCAAGTGGAAGAAAGAAGTCTTTCTGCACTCTCCAGGGTTGGAGGAGGGGTGGGCCCCCAAACACACTGGCTGAAGCACAGCACAGCACTTGGACTTGCCTAAGAGTTGCAGTCCTTGTGACCTAAACAGTCTTTCAGGTTTATTAAGGACCCCAGACTATTTTATCCCACGGCAGCCAGGCTTTCACAACTCAAGTTCCAACCACGGGGATGAGTAATTCCCCTATGGTTGGGGCTAGTCTAAATGTTTTTTCTGTGGGTGGGTACTGGGTGGGTTCAGCTTTGTTTTGCTTTATGCTATGATGAGGCAGCACTGAGTTCAGGCAAAGTCCCACAGCTGCAGTGCTCTCCCTTCCCCAAGTATGTAGCCTCTCTCCTTGCCACAGGTTCACAGTGCTGGCATCAACAATTCAAGACTGTCTTTTCTATGCTGTTCAGTGCCTCTTTCAGTGATATGACGTTAAAACCATGTCATATGAACACTTAAATAATTTTCAGTTCTTATGGAGGTGCTTTTTTAGATAGTTGCTAAAGTTGTTATTCCTGTGGGGAGCGCAATTGGCAGAGACTTCTATTTGTGACTGCATACATCCTGAATCAGTTTTATCTGGAGTAATAGGCAAATGTAAAAACAAAGAATCAAACAAACAAACAAAAAAACCACAAAAAACAAAAACCTCTTTCCACTGCCTGAGGATCTTCATCTTCATATGCCTCATATACTTCTATGTCATCAAGAAGTATTCCTTCAGATTTTCCTAAGTGTCACCCACAAAGCCATTCTCGTTGTCTAGTGGACACTGTGAGAGCCTCTGCTGGAAATGCCTCCCTGGCTCACCCTACCAACCAGCTCCAAGACCCTTCCCTTTACAGTAGTCATGAGGCCAGACTGGAAGAAAGACCCATGAAGCTCCTGTTTCAGTGTCAAGTTGCCTCTATGAGCAACTCCATGATTCAGCAAGATTTCTTGCATTCTCATAGATAACTTGGGGCCCCCCCAAGGGCTGCTGTGCTTGCATTAATGCCCCAGGAACCTCCTGAGTGTGGTGAGCATGGGGTGATGCCCCAGCAATGTTTCTCAGACTGCCTGAGGGGAACACTGGAACTTTTAACTCATCAGCCCAGTGATGCAACACTCCTAATGGGGAGAGGACAGGGGCACAGGGAACTGTGGCTATTCTGTATCTCAAGGTTTCTACATAACAGATCTTCAGAGAAAAGCGGGGGAACACCAGCAAATGCAAATACACGATGTTATGACTCAGGGTGAAGCTATACTTCACAATGCAGAGGCCCCAGACTTGTCAATGGGCAAACAATTATTTCAAAGGCCAGATATGCGCTCCTCACAAAGAGACTAGAACTTGCAGACAGCTTGTAAAAGCCATAAGGAAACTGACTGTACTATTATGTTTCTCATTGTACACTGTTAAGATATTTGCCAAAAACATTCACCAGAAAAATACTTTTCCATTTATGAGGTTACTACAACGGCAATTTACCAAGATCTACCAATGAATAGTGAAAAATATGAACTGTTCTTCTAAAGCTGGGGAGAAAGAGTATGTGGTATTTATGCCCATTCTTATTATCTGCATAATGTAACCTTTAAAAGTATTTCTCAAAGTGTTTAAGTTTATGGGAGCAAATAAAGTATTCAAAAATGGTTAGAAAGTTCACAAAAACCGTACAAACTCACATATCGTCAACTGTCATTTTCTCAGACTTTGCATAAGTCCTCATTGCACACAGCCACATTGCTCCCAACCTTGATGACAAGAAGAATGGCTCTGAAGATAATCCTCTTCCAGTTGGATGGACAAATGTTGATATCAGCACACTTTAGAAGTCTTTTTATGTATACCTGCAAAACAGAGCACTGGCCTTTGATTTAGCTCAATTTAAGTGCTGTGATAAGAATTCTTATGAAAAACCAGAATACTTCTGGTTTTGACCAGAAAGCAGATGCCTTTTATTCTTATGTTCTACAGAGACTTTGTTTCATCAGGTTAAGTAAGGGGCCATATCACAATCACAGTCCAAATATTTCTGCTACCTACTCTGCCCAGCGGGGGTAGATTAACACATCCAAGGAACAATGAGTGGAGGGCAGTAGCTCTCAATCACAACATACATGAGAACTGCCTGGGGATACACCCTGGGACTCAGCTTAGACCTACAATGCCACGCATTCCTGCCCATGAACCAGATGGTCTTATTACTCCTCTTCATTCCAAGCCCTCCACATGCCCTGGATGTATGCGCACTGCGTGTGCATGTGTGCACTGAAGTGTGGGGGGAGAAATCAGAAATCCCTCCTGCTGCCTTTAATAGCAATTGTTCTGTAATGAGAAACGCAAGGCAACATTTAAGCCATAATGATGAATCAACTTAAATGTGTGTATTTGCTTTCATAAGTTTCTCTTAAAGTTCTGAGATAATTTCAGAAACCTACTTTCATTTAAAATCAGGAACATACTACCCTGTTTACAAGATCAATTTCTTTTTTTTTTTTGGAAATAGAGTCCTGCTCTGTTGCCTAGGCTGAAGTACACTGGCTTGATCTCAGGTCACTGCACTCTGCCTCCTGAGTTCAAGTAGTTCTCCTGCCTCAGTCTCCTGAGTGGCTGGGACTACAGGGGCGTGCTACCATGCCTGGCTAATTTTTGTATTTTGGTAGAGACAAGGTTTTACCACATTGGCTAGGCCACTCTACAAGACCAATTTCTAAAGATGCTTTATAAATAGAAAATATCTTACCAAACTTATGATTGCTAAGTCAGCATTTAGCCCTTTGGCATGAAACAGGATACGCATGAATTTGAAAATCATTTTGTGTGCAGGATCATATATAAAGTATTCTTCCGGAACCTCTCCTTGCTGAAAGAAGAAAGGATGCAATGTAAGTATCCATTGAAGAGAAAACCTGAAGTGCTCTTAAGACAGCACTGTTCACATTTGTGCCCATGTATCATTTACAATAATTTTGATTGGTGAGATGTCTTTCAGTTTTTACAATATGAACAGTGGGATCTTAAAATACCATAATGATTTAATACTCATCAACATTCACTTAAAAATCATATGAGCTAAAGTTCAGAAAATTTTTGTTCTTTTTTACTCTTTGCCCCACATAATTCTATCCAAATGTAAGCTACTCTTAGGCTTTAATGCCTTACTGATGGTATGTCATTCTCTGCAATAAACTTTGAGAAAATACCAGTTTCCTGTAACCATGAGGCTCTAAGCCTATGCTGTTAAATACAATAGTCACTAGCCACATGTGGCTATTATGTACTTGAGGAAGTACATTTTTAAAATTGTAAACCATGTAAGTTGATTTAAACAAATTATTTTTAATTCTATTCATAAAAGTCACTCTTCTGTGTTATTATATATACTCATATTGCTTGATGCTACCAATAATTGTCTTTTAAAAGATACATTTTCTGTTATTTGGATAGTATATTTACTTATAGTAGATCACTAACTAAACAGAGCTGCAGATCAGTTCTTATTCCAACACATTCTTTTTACAACACCTAAGAGGATTAAATGCAACACGAAATGGGGAAGATTTAAAGATGGCTTTGACTTCAGCATGAAACAAATACAAGTCTATGATAAAAATACAATCTGAATAAAGTGCCACTTACATAAAGTGGGAATATACGTTCGTCAAATATGCCCAAAGTTCTATCTGCATCTCTATAAAATAAGAATATGCATTACTTCAAAAACTGTTAATATCTTAGTACAGTATCTATTTAGTATAATAATGCCTCCTATGTGCTTTGGTGTTTACTTCACCAAAGCAAACAATTTTTACAAATTCTTCTCCTGGATCCTGCCCTGCAGGTTTCCCGACCTTTTCTTCCTCAGTACATCAGGTCCTGTACTGTGAGGTCCTTCTCACAATAACCAGTCAGAGCTGCCTATAGGTATTGACCCTCCCTAACAGGCAATGGCAGTAAACCAAACATATATTTACTCTTCTTAACCACACACTGAAACACAAGAATGTTTTACAAAGCAGTAGTGGTGGGCAATAAAGTCTTCAGAATTTAATAAATGTAAATGTGATTCTGATTTCCTAGCTTCCTTTTAGTTCTCTGTAGTATACTTTCACAATGTATTTGTTTTCTGTTGCTTGAATTAAAAACTCATCTGCCTTTTTATTTCAAAAGAGACTAGTCTTTGATTAAACTTTGTAAAACTAATGTATCGTGCCTATGTGATAAACCAGTGGTTCTCCAAATGTGCTCTGTGGACCTCTGGGGATCCCGAAGACCCTTTCTGAGAAGGCCTAAGAGGTCAACACTGTTTTTTTTTGTTTGTTTGTTTTTCCTGAAATGGAGTTTCACTCTTGTTGCCCAGGCTGGAGTGCAATGGTGGAATCCTGGCTCACTGCAACCTCCGCCTCCCAGGTTCAGGTGATTTTCCTGCCTCAGCCTCCCAAGTAGCTGGGATTATGGGCACCTACCACCACGTTCAGCTAATTTTTTATTTTTAGTAGAAACAGGGTTTCACCATGCTGGCAAGGCTGGTCTTGAACTCCTGACCTCAGGTTATCCACCTGCCTGGCCTCCCAAAGTACGGGGATTACAGGCCTGAGCCACCATCTCTGCTGGACACTGTTCTGATAATGATAATAATTCAACCTGAGAAAGTTGACTTAAAAAAATTTCTTTTTTAAATTAAGAAAGTAATACAAAGACCCTGACTGCTTTTTCATAGACACTTGCCATAACTGTATAAAAGCAGAGGTGGATAAAACTGCTGGTTTCTCAGCCTAAATCAAGGCAGTGGTACCAATTACACCGGTAGTAATTCTGTTCTTTATTGTCCCTTACAGTTAAAAAACACCCTAAAGTCCTTAAGAATGTCTTTGTTGAGGTGGTAAAAATTAATGGTGTTACTAAATCTCGATATGTCTCTTTAATATTCTGAATCAGTAGAAAGCTAAGAAGAAGCACTTCTGCTGACTGCAGTATGGTTGTGTTTAAAAAACTTCATGATTTAATCGTGAGCTGAACAATCACTTTTTTCACAGAACATCGTTTTTATTTAAAAGTACTACTGTGCTAGTGCAATGGTTCACCTCTAAAATCCAAACCCTTTGGGAGACCAAAGCAGGCAGATCACTTGAGCGCCTTCAGAAGTTTGAGAGTAGCCTGGGAAGCATGGTGAAACTCTGTCTCTACCAAAAATACACCAAAATTAGCCAGACGTGGTGCCACACCTCTGTGGTCCCAGCCACACAGGAGTCTGAGGTGAGAGAATTGCTTGAGCTGAGATCATGCCAATGTACTACAGCCAAGTGACAGAGTGAGACTCAGTCTAAAAAAAAGGGACAACTATCATTCTCAAAAATAAATGAACTGAGGTTGTCACTTCAAGGAAAATAAACATGAGTTCCCAATCACAAATTAAGCTTTCCTGAGGACTTTGAAATCTCGTTCCTTCTACTGTAGGCTTGACAGCTTTTCGACACTTAAAGACTTTTAAAATAATATTGGTGGTGCAAAGTGATTTTTGACACAATAAAACATAAACCAATATATTCCAAATAACTAATGCATGATATTATAAATGCAAGTATTAGGGGAAAGATCCATTAACCATGAAAGACAGATTAGTGAGTGCTGACCAAATAAATTTATTAATATGTATAATACCACTGCAACTAATTTTAAAAAGTATCACTTGTCAAGTTTTCACTTATTATTAAATACCCACAAGTGTCTCAAAGCTTTAAAAATGCACCTTTTACCAACTACATATTTGCATGAGATTAGGTCATGTCATTGCTTCCCTTTTTTGACTACGGGCATGCACTATCATGCTCAGCTATTTTTTGTATTTTTAGTAGAGATGGGTTTCACCATGGTGGTCAGGCTGGTCTCAACATTATGACCTCAAATGAATCTGTCCACCTTGGCCTCCTCAAAGTGCTGGGATTGCAGGTGCCTCCCACCACACCTGGCCATCTTATTGTTCTTTAAAGCAAATTTCAAAGAAAGACCTAGAGAATCCAGCTGTCTTCTATTAAGTGCGACATTCAAGGTCTTCAATAATATAAATACATGACACACTTTTTACTCAACTTTTCGTTGTAGAAAATCTATTTTCTCATTAAAATTTTATGTTAACAATATTGTTCTCAAGGAGTATTTGCTGTTGTCACCACCTGGGTCATGGGTTACTACTGACATCTACTTGGTACAGGCCACCAGTGCTGCTAAACTTTCTGCAATGCACAGGACAGTCCTGTGACAAAGTGTTATCTAGATCAAGATATCACCAGTGGTAAGGCTGTGAAATCTAAACTAAAAATAGATTTTGAAAAAAATCTCAATTTTATAGTTCTATGACAGTAAATATCAATATCATCAATGTAAACACATACTCTTTGAGATTCCCAATCATTTTAAGAATTAAAAGTCTTAAGGACAAAGGAAAACACAAGTAATTTGCTTGGATATTTTGGTAGGCCCAATACAACTCATGATGTCTAGAGCTGCGACCTGAAGAGCTTGATAGCTTGCAAAGTAATTAGCCAGAATAACAAGACAGTTTTTAAAAAAGCTCACCTTTTCTTGATAAGGTAATATATCCAATGCCACACTGTGGAAGGAAAAACGTTCATAACAATAGATGTTAGCATTTGTTAGGTCTGAAGACATTTTTTTAAAAGGGTGTGGTAGAAACTCTCCTAGCGGCCCTGAAATTAAAACCTCCTAGTTCAGAACAGTACCATAAGGACACTTTCTTGTTTTCATTTCTTGGATTTTAGCAAAAATATGAGAACAAAAATGCAAGGCAATACAATACACTGTTAGAACGTGTTTCTGTTGATGATTATGATATATAAATAACATATTTACCTGTTATATGTTCTTCTACCATAAAACCTTTGATCACATGCAATTTATTTTATGTATTTATTTATTGTGTGACCCAGAGTCTTGCTCTGCTGCCCAGAGCAACCTTGGCTCACCACAACCTCCACCTGCTGAGTTCAGGCAATTCTCATGCCTCAGCCTCCCAAGTAGCTGAGACTACAGGTTTGTGCCACTATGTCCAGCTAATTTTTGTATTTTCAGTAGGGATGGGGTTTTGCCATGATTGTCAGGTTGGTCTCAAACTCCTGGCCTCAATTGATCTGCCTGCCTCAGCCTCCCAAAATGCTGGGATTACAGCTTGAGCCACCTACCTCATGCAATTTATATCTATGTGTACATACGTTTAAATTTCAGCCACACAGTAGTGGTTTCTTTTTTAAGATGTTGGGCCCTGCATTTTAATTTAGTTCACTGTGTCCTACCCACCCATTTTTTAAATTATTTCCCAAAAAAATGCATAACATAACGAAAGTGGTTTATAACAAATAAAATTATTTGAAATTGCTTTTGCATAATTATTAGAAAATATATTAGTAAACATAAGCTCACATGACATCAATGATATAGGTACAGCAATCCTGAAAAAAGCAGTGCTAACGAGGTAGTGTAGCACGACACAGTGTAACATCAATGGCAGGTATCTTCAGTTAGTTTAACTGAAATATTTATGAACAGATACAACTCTTCAGATATATGTAACTGTATTCCTAAGTTACCCACTGATACTGTGTAGCAGAAACAAGAAGTTCTCTTACATAAGTTATGTGCTTCCATTTGCCCTCAGCATCTACAATGAGGTTCAAAGTAACTGAGGGACGGCAAATCTCAATTTTAGTAATGGGTCAATACAATATTAGCACTTTTTAAAAAGCCTGTAACATTAGCACTTCAGATAGATATGTCTATAGTGCTTCAAGTAGTTTTCATCTCTGAAATAATTTTAAAATCACAGAATTTGAAGTTATATGCTGGAAAGGACCCATGACCTTACAGGACATTTAATCCAACATTGTGTATTCTCATTCATACGTGGGAGCTAAGCTATGAAGATACAAAGGCATAAGAATGATTCAATTGGCATGGTGCCATTCCCATGGTAAGAAGCAAATTCTCATTCTGGTATTAAACCAATGTGAGTTTTTCTTTTTGTTTATTTGCAGAAAAGTGATATATTTATTTATTTAGAGAGAAACAGGAGAAGAGAGAAAGCTTCCACAAGAGAGAGTGTGTGGAAGCAGGACCCCAGAGGGGAAATCCAGGAGGGGAAAGAGACCTCCCACTGTGTCAGATAACATGAGTTTTTCTAAATACTTTTAAAATACATCTGATCAAACAAGAGTTTTCACTCTTTTTCTTGGCAGAAAAAACAATGTTATCTCACTATCTACTTGGGATTTCTTTGCTTCAGAAGGGTTGGATTCCAATGCCATATCCATACAGAGAGAAAAGAAAAAATATGTAATCACTTATAACAATTTATCAACTCATTTATTCGACAAGGAAGCCATTTCACTACCTCTATTTTTATTCTTATCTATTGGTAAAAGGGACAAAGAATTAAACATAAAGATAAATCTAAGACTCCATTACATGATAAATTGTGTTGATAAAAAGGCGGTAAAATGTATAAACAAAAAATTGAGATGTTTCACTAACATGATAAGAAGTAAAAGAGTATATCATGTTAAAACAATGCAAGTGAATGTGAAAATTTTAAAAATTTAAACCAGTATGAGTTTTGCTAAACACTTTCTATAATACATCTCATCAAACAAGAGTTTTCACTCTCTTTCTTGGCGAAAAAAACAGTGTTGTCTCACCATCTGCTTGATATTTCTTTGCTTCTGGATGATCAGAAGGGTTGGACTCCAAAGCCCTATCTATATAGAGAGAAAAGAAAAAAGATGTCATCATTATAACAATTTATCTACTCATTTATTCTACAAGGAGGCCATTTCACTACCTCTACTTTTATTCTTATCCTTTGAAATGAATGTATAGACATAAGACAAAGCCAGACAAGGTGGCATATGCCTGTACTCCCAGCTACTCAGGAGTATAAGATAAGAAAATCCCTCGATCTCAAGTCAGAAATTTAGGCCAGCATGCGTAACATAGTGAGACTCTTTTTTTATTTAAAAAAAAGAAAAAAAGAGGTAAATGTTCCATTTGAGTTGTGTAAAATCAACTTTGAATAAAACAAATCAAGATGGCAATACATTTTAAAAGAGAAGCCTATTTTATAGGCAAAATATAAGATGTATTCTGGAGTTTGAAAAATTTTTTAAAAAGTAAATTCAGCATATTTGTCACTTCCATGTCATTGTGAAGACACAGAACCTTAGTTCTGTTGAGCAGCTGTCTTCCATTGTCATGCGAGATCTCTGTCTTCATTTCTTCATTAGTAATACATACGGAGAACACACACAAGCCTTCTTTGTATTGGAAGGGGCCAAATGAGACATGCATAAACTGTATTGTAATCCTAAAGAATAACAATAAAGAGCCTTTTTTAGGCTCTCATCCAACACAACTCATCTATGAACTGGTGTGTAAAATCACTCACAGGCTTTCCTTATACCGGGAACCAGCATATAAGTTTATACAAGTACTTACACATTTTGTGTATAAAGGTATAATCAATTCACATAATATATTTGTTTATTCAAAATTCTTAAATATCTTGAAAAGTGAGTATAGTACTCCAAGTTACAAAGTCACATTCATCACGAGTCTTAATTATTCTACCTCTGAAAAAAACGAAGTGCCCAACCAAAGATATTTTTTTTGTTTTGTTTTACTCTAAGTTCTGAGGTACATGTGCAGAACGTGCAGCTTTGTTACATACGTATACATGTGCTCTGGTGGTTTGTGGCACCTATAAACGCATCATCGAGGTTTTAAACCCCACATGCATTAGGTATTTGTCCTAATGTTCTCCGTCCCCTTACACCCCACCGCACAATGAACCCGCTAGTGTGTGATGTTCCCCTCCCTGTGTCCATGTGTTCTCATTGTTCAACTACCACTTATGAGAGAGAATATGTGGGGTTTGGTTTTCGTTCCTGTTGTTTGCTGAGAATCATGGCTTCCAGCTTCTTAAACTTTACTTTCTTATCCTTGAACAAAATGCTGTTGTCAGATGGGGGAAGGACAAAGGGGGAGCCATGGCAGCAAACACTCTTCCACGGACAAGGTTTGGCATTTTAACCTTCAATGATTATGTTATACGTTAAAAGTCTATATTGACATTTCATGTCTTTTGAAAGCTTTGACCACGAACCATCCCTACTTCTCTTTTAGAACAAGGAGGTAAATAAAGTCTGTTAAGTCACCAGAATAAATCTAGAGACACATTTTGTGTTAGAGTAAGAATTTTAAAGGCATCAGAGCCTCATGGGTAAACTCCTTTGGGGGGAAAACCCATTTTTCTTTAACCCTGGCCATGACATTTCACACCTTTCACAATTATTTTAAGCACCCTCCATTTTCTTTCCTTTTGTGTTCAAATTACAGTTAGAAAAAAATAAGCACCTATCAAGGTGACTTAAAGCAACCCATTAAGAATATCCTATCATCTCTCCTATGGCAAACTTCATTCTGATTTCAAAGAAGAAATCCCCAAATACTTCAGTATGAATTGTCCTGAGATTCAGCTACTTTAACGAAGGAAATAATTAGGCACTTACCTGGTACCTTCACTTAGGTACCATGTGGATAGATACAAAAAAAGAATGATATGGGTACTGGAAAGTTGGGGTATTTGAGTTTTTAGTGAAAAAAGAAAGAGAATATTCCAAAAAAGCCTCAACAAAGTCCCACAGAATAATAAACAGAGCTACAGACAAGAAGAGACATAAATAATTGGTCCCAGGCCAGCCTGATAGAATGCGATGAGGGAGAAAAAACTGGGTGTTTGGGAGGGGAGGAGAAAAGAAACTGACTGGACTCCGTGGAGAAACACTAAGTGATGGAAAAAGGAACGCAAAGCAGAGTCAGCCTTTGTTTCTGACCAGCCCCGGTAAAGCTGGCTACAGGCAAAAAGGAGCCTGGGGTAGGGGATGACCCCCAGGTGACCTTGAAGACAGCAGCAGCCAGAAGGGTGGCCAGGGCAGATGGCACTGTCACCTCCTTACCTTCAGGCATCTCCCCATCACAGATGTCGTGCACAGGACGGCCCTCACCAGCTTCAACTGTCAACTCCGCAGGTTCTACAGCAGCAGCCGAGGGCCCTGCTGCTGTCGTGTCCTCAAGCTGCTGCCTCACAGATTTCAGACTCAGGAGGACACTCTGACTTCTCATCCTGGTCCAATTCTTGGCTGACCTTGGTGCGCACACAACAGCTCAGTATGTTCCCCATGGGGCACCTCTACTCCTGTCTGCCGCCACCTGTGCCTCTGCTCACAGTGTTGGCCAGGCACTCCTCCTGCCCTAGGCCTAGGCTATGCCGCACTTTCAGAGATAGTCTTGCCCACTGCTCGCCTGCCCACCCCACAGCCCGGCCCCAGCCAGGGCTCGAGCCAAGGCCCGCACCCTGCTGCCTCTCCTGAGTTGACTTGTCTGGGAGGGTGGAAAAACAGCTGGCTAATTTAATAGGTTGGGAACCCAACAAATGCTGAGATACAACTGCCTGAAGAGAGTACAAAAGGAGCTCCTCTTCCTTCTGCAGTCACCTACAGACTGAAACCCACTGGCCCAGGTGGAAGCCCAGGCACGTGACTCACAAAAGCCAGTGGGACTAAGGTTTTCATTCATCACCCACCAGCTTCCTGAGCTTTTTAGTCCTAAAAACAGAGTGGTTCATTATTGGAAGCCATCTTCCTCTAGGAGTTCTATACAAAGTGGCAGTTGGCAGAGTGGGTCCCATTAGCAACCAAGTTGAACTTTTATTTGCTGACTCAATGTAGATACACCTGAATTGTTCACTGCTTTTGTAATGAAATACTCCTCTCCTGTCTTCCAATGAGTGGTAGTTTTTGTCTGTAACCTGATGACAGAAATCCCTGGGACCCTAGCTCTACTCTCACTAAAGAGTTATGGCTGTGTGGGCCAGGCGCGGTCGCTTATACCTGTAATCCCAGCACTTCAGGAGGCCAAGGTGGGCGGATCATGATGTCAAGAGATCAAGACCATCCTGGCCAACATGGTAAAACCCTGTCCCTACTAAAAATACAAAAAAATTAGCTGGGCTTGCTAGCGTGCACCTGTAGTCCCCTACTTGGGAGGCTGAGGCAGGAGAATTGCTTGAACCCAAGAGGCGAAGGTTGCCAAGATTGCGCCACTGCACTCCAGCCTGGCACCTGGCAACGGAGCGAGACTTTGTCTCAAGAAAAAAAAAAAAAAAGAGTTATGGTTGTGTGTCTTGAATGACACCTTAGGACCATCCTGCCTCCACCTCCTTCTCCATAAATTAGAAACCTAACTTGTTCCCCCAAGCTCTGAAGTGCTGAAACTTACCAATTTCCTTTTCTCCCCTGTTTCTTCCTTCCATGGCAGGGACTTTCAGGTTTTCTCTCTTTTACTAACAAAGCACTAAGCATGATTTTGTTATACAAAATCAAGAGCTGTAAAGTGGGTTACCACAGTCCTAACTCAATAAAAATGAATACTGAACATCTGGCAAGCAGTATATGCCTGACAGTGTTCCAAGTGGGCTATGCTCATTTAGCCCTCAGAAATAATCTCACCAGTTTTAGAGAAGACATTAAGATGGAGAAGGTAAGTTATCTCCCCAAGGTCACATGACTGCCCAGGCTAGGGCCATTATTTGATCTCAGGTACTATGAATTCCCCAATTCCTCAAGCGTGATTATCAGAAAGTGCATTATTCCATTTTCATACTGCTATAAAGAAATATCTGAGGTTGGGTAATTTATAAAGGAAAGAAGTTGAATTGACACATTCCACATGGCTGTGGAGGCCTAAGGAAACTTACAATCATAGCAGAAGGGAAAGCAGTTACTTCTTACATGGCGGCAGGCCAAAGAGTATGAGCATGTGAAGGAGCAACTGTCAAACACGTATAAAACCATTAGATCTCAAGAGAACTCACTCACTATCACAAGAACAGCATGGGGGAAAGTGCCCCCATGATCCAATTATCTCCCACTGGGTTCCTCCCACAACTTGTGGGGATTATAAGAATTACAATTCAAGATGAGATTTGGGTGGGGACATGATCAAACCATATCAGAAAGTACAGGTAGAAGTCAAGCTTGGAAGGGAAGTGACATTATAGACTGGCATATTTTTTTAAAAAACGTTTTTTTTTTTTTAATGTGAATTTTAAAATGCCTCCCCTTCATTCAACACTGATGAAGTCCCTTCTACATGCCAGACACCATATGTGTGAAACAGTCCCAAGTTTCAATGAGGGTAGGCAGATACAAAAACAAAGGCTTAAGAAGTTCAGTTTTCTGAGATCACACTACTGGACAGTGTATGAATCTGAGATACAAATCCACCTCTATCTGACCCCAAATTTGACACTGGGGTAGTTTTAATTTTATTCTGAAAATTTGAGTCATTGAACCATACAAAGGTGAGGAGTCTCTGTCAGATGTGTGTGTAATGGTCTGTATAATAAGAAAGGACTGAAGGAAGCAACAGACCAATTAAGAGACTATCTAAAGGAAGACTGATGCTAAAGGCAGTGGCAGTGAAAAAAGTGGAGGAAAAAATTTTGTGATTATTGGGGAGACAGAATAGGAAGTACTTGGTCATGAGATGTGAAAGCAGGGAAGTAGAGGGAAAAACAGGGCTGCTTGGGCTCTGCTGGGGAAGACTGGATACAGAGTTGTACCTTTCTCCTGGCAGAGAATGTAGGAAGAGAAATCAGTAAGGAGGAAAAGACAGTTTTTTACGCTCAGTGTCACATTAAAATGGAACTCTCTGGTCAAAGTTGAAGATAAATCTCTGTAGGCTAAGACCATTTGTGACATCCCAACATATGTTTTTAAAAATAACATACATACTAAATCAAACCATTAAGAGTAACTGGGGAAATTTCCTAAAATTTACATGCTAAGTATATCACCATTTTTTATTACTTTCATGGATTAACTCTGAATCTATGGTTATAGCAAATGAGGGATCTTACATAAAATAAAGCTAATATTTTAAATTTAAAATTCTATTATCCTCAGTGAATAAGAGAAAGCAACTGAAGCCATGGGCATGGAAGTGATTGCCTTGAGAGGTTGTGTATACTAAGGAGAACTAGAAAGAAAGAAGACCTCGAGAATAGGGGGATATACATGACATTAAGTAAAGCTTGCAAAAGTGGGCACTCGGAGTCAAGAGACTGGCCTTTGAATCAGGAACGGCTGCTTTTGTGAGGCATTGGAAAGGAGATGATGTCTGATTTCATTTCTGTAACAGCAGCACCTAGCTTTTACGCTTTTATACTAAAACAATGAAACATATATTCATGATATTAAGGTATGAAAAGGCTTCACAGTTTAAAAAATTGGTAACAATAAAGGGAAAACCTATATAATTGGACAATATCAAAATTGGTAAGGTATATCACCAATAGACAATATTAGGAGATGTCAAAAGCAACTCTCAGTAGATAATATAATCTACATATATATTATGTAAATACACACATGCATACAAACATCTACATGTTGACACAGAATAAAAGATTTATATCCAAAAATATCAAGAATTTTTACAAATCATTAAGAAAAAATACAAATAACCCAACAGAAGACACATGGCCCAATAAACATATGTGAAGTTGCTCTGTGAGTAGTTATCAAAAATATAAGACAAAATCTCAATGCAATACCACTATACCCCCTCCAGAATATCAAAAATGCAAAAAGGCAGAAAGCACCAAGTGTAGAGAAGAAGGTGAAATTTCTGGACTGTTCATTTACTGCCAATGAAGAGTGTAAGCAGGCACAATCACTTTGAAAAACTGGCAGCATCTTTATACAGCAGCATAACCTATAACCCAGGAATCTCTTTCCTACACATTTTCCCAACAAAAATGAATAAATGTTCACCAATAAAAACATACATCAAAATCTTCACAATAGTGCATACTCCAATAGCCAGGGACTGGAACCAAACTAAATGCCCATGAACAATAAGATAGATTGTAGTATTTTCACATAGAGGAATATGATACAACAAGAATAAAGAAACTACAACTCACAAATACATAATATTAATGAAAAGAAGCCAGACATAAACTAGTACATGTTTATGGTTTAATTTATATAAAGTTCTTGCAGAGTAAGAGAATGACTGAAAGGAACAGGAAGGCACTGTTTCTTTTAAAAAGGAAGACTTACTATAAAAACAATGTCAGCAGAAATAAATAGTGGATGGAACTAAACTGTGTCAGAAGTGACACAGTTGATGTACATTCTAGTGAAAGCTCCTTATCTTGACCTGGACTGAAAGAAGCAGTGTTGTAGAGGCCAACAAAAGTGAGAATATGCTAAAGGTCTTTGGGTTAAGTTAGAGATACTATTTTAAACTACTTTGTGGGGGGCGGGAAGGACAAATTAAATAAAAATAATAAGATGGCAGAATAAAGTCCAAGTATATCAATAAATGCAAAATTTAAAACTTAAAGTTACTAGTCAAAAGAAAAAGACAAATTGAAAATGTTAATAAAATAAACTATTTGCTATATAGTAAAAAGGTTGATAGTAAAAGAAGTGAAAAAATATAAATAAAACTGGTCAGGTTTATTAATAATTGGGAAAAAAGAAGCCCGAAAACAAAAAGCACAATTAGAGATAGAGAAGATCATAAATAATGATGGAAAGTCCAAGTCACCAATTAAAAAAAAAAAAAAATTCTGAACAGGTACACACCTAACAAAATAAGCCTAAAATTTATACAAAACAAAAAATTCACAGAATTTCAAAACAAAAATGGTAACTCCAATATCACTGTAGGAGAATTCAACACACTGTTCTCAACTTTTGCCATCAATTCTCTAACCGTTCTCAGACTTTATCTTCTCTTTAGATCAGATCCAAAGCACTGAATCAATGTTTTTGTTGTTTCCCATACCATGTACATAAACCAACTGGACAAGGAGGAAACTCATGGATCTTAAGGACTAAAGGTCAATCCAGATGCATTCTGAACTCTTTTAGAGAAAGCTATTTTGTGATTAGTTTAAACAATAAACTCAAGATTGTTAGCCTCTAAAAACTGTCAGGTACTGAGTGGTCAACTGCTGCCATGACACCGTGTTCATTTGCATGTCAATCATGTTTGCCTTTAAAGTCCTAGTAAGACAAAGGTCTTAAACTGTTACCTTTTCTGAGCCTCCTTTATCTAATGAGATGAAGATACTCTCTCTAGATTAAATGTTTGTATATAAGGTGTTGATAGAGGTTAAAAAAACGTTTGTGCTATTTAAGCCTCTGGTAACAATGACTTTTTTAAATAAAAGGATTATAGGAGTATAGAAAATTATACTACCCGAAATCCACTTGGAATTTAATATATCCACAAAGACTACCAATTTTGCCATACAACTATTGGAAAATCATATTTTATATACTGAATAATTGCAATGAGTCACCTTAAACATACCAATTATAGTTTACCTACATGGCACATTATCCACATTACTTGCTGTGTTTCTTAAAATATGCACATATAAATTCAAGGTAGGTCTTCTAACACTTGCCCATACCTGGTTCCCTTGCCTTCCAGGCACACAGGAAGATTACACTTCCTGTCTTTAGTACTTAGGTGAGACCACATGATTAGTTCTGGTCAACAGATCATGAATGGAAGTGCCAAGTGTTGCTTGCAGGCCAGTGCAAGTAATTATATGTGTGAGACCCTCCGGCACTCTTACTCTGCCATAGTGACAAGAAGGGACCTCAAAAGATGGTCAAGCCCCAAAATCAAAGTAGCTTAGATCACTAAAGGCAGCCACCTTAGAGAGCTGTCCAGACCCACAAGACTTTCTAAGAGTAAAAAACAAACTTTTATTGTGTTATCCCACTGAGAGTTGGCACTTCAATGTTACCTCAGTAGAGCACAGGCCAAGGTTTCTCAACAGCAGCACTACTGTCATCTTAGGCTAGATAAATAATTCATTGTGGTCTCTGTCCTGTGCACTGTGGGATGTTAAACAACATCCCTGCCATCTACCCACTAGATACCAAGAAGCCCTCATCAAAAACCACCTCTTGCCATTGACCTCCTTCCCACTACCTTTGAGAACCACTGGCATAGATTAACCTACTAATATAGAATGTACATATGTATGTACATATGAAAAATATCTATGTAAATATGTTGAGTATATTTAAGTCAAATGTCATATATTCTCACGCTTTATTTCCTACTAGGGTCAGATATTTTATAGGCTCTTAAGAAACATGAATTCCCATTTCTCAAAGTAGTAACGTTAACTCATAAACTTTCTAAAAAATCAATCATAGTACAAGTGTCCCTATAATAGGGTAAACAAAATGTTCCAAGAATATATAAATCCATACATACTATGCTGTTCATTTCAGAGGACTCATAGCTCCCAACCGGATGGACATTTCCAATGGGTTCCAAGCCTTCTTCATCCCACATGTATGTTCCATCAGAGCTATCAGATGGAGAGAGTTCAAATGAAGAACCAGCTCTGTAGTCTGTATCCGGTGAAACGAAATTATTCCCAGACGCATGTTTTGTACATTCACTCCTGTCTTCAATTCATTCAAAGAGAGAGAGAGAGAGAAAAGATTACTGACTGACAAAAATATAATTGTTTCACATGTCCTAAAAATATGTGTGTATAATTTGATATATCATAGCAAAAAGCTGGCTCAAAAAAAAAGCACTCATAACTGTAGCATTTTCTATATCCTAAGCCATGAAAACATCAAGAGGCAAAATCTTTAAAATAACCTACTGAAATATTTTCTAATAGACGAAAAGAAAATTTACTTAGTCATCTTTCCCTTCTGTAATATTTCCAAAAATGTAAGTAAAGCCTCATATTCCTATGTTTCCCAAGATATTTATTTTTAAACATTTGCCAGGAAGCTCCTTTTCCTCTGTGTACACTATTTAACTTCATAGATTAAATAATATAGGGTACTCATAATTGCCTCCCTATAAGGAAATAAACTTGTTCTGGCAGTCACTTTTAGAAAACCTACAGACAACCAAGGGTTTGTATATGCATCTCTATGCACTGATCTGATTATACCAGGGGACAAACTGAACAAACTGAAGGGACTGGACATACCACATGTCTATATCCAATCCCTTCAGTTTGTTCTATTTTCAAGCATATGGGCGTAAAAACACCAAATACATTTTCTCCAGCATTTAGTAACAGGATAACCAAACATAAGAGGAAATGTTTAACAGATATTATTTCACTTTCTTCAGTTTAAAAAATAAATAAAGCTCCCTCTGGATGTGTAAAAATTGCTAAACAAGAAAAATTTTTTAAGATAAAAAAAAAAATCAATCAGATTAGACATAACTTCTATTATCTCATTTTACCCTTTGGTGCAGCTTTACTCTTAACAAGTAGCAATGTTATGCTACCCTAAGGGAAGAGACGGTTTGATGAATGTCATACCACTGGTTGAGGTAAGTGGGGGAAAAGTCAGTTAGAAGTACTGTCTATACTAAGCAGGAATAAGCTTGTGTATAACAGCCAAAGAACAACAAAGATAAGAGTGGTTTTATTAACGCTGTTTTAGATAGGGTGAAAAACGGGGTCAGGAGCAAAAGTCACAGGAAAATAAATGTTACCCCACTCCAATTTTGTCTAAATCCAACCCTCTGTAAAACTGATAGTATCTTGAAATCTATCTGAAGATAACCCTTAATGTAAGTTCAGTTATATTATCTAAAAGAAAGCAAAGAAACTTAAGGTTAGTAATATTTACCAGAGACACTTATGTCTATCCATTCATTAGTTTTACTGAGAGCTTTTACATTTTCCTTGGGGGAATCAAATACATCCTGTGGTGGCACATTTTCATGCTTCTCTTCTTTGACAGACATTTCCTCTGGAGTTATTCTAGTTCTGTTAGAGTCTTCTATATCTATAAAATCATCACTAAAGTCTTCACTTAAATCATTCTTGTCAGAAGATGACAAAGAAGACAAGGAAATGTCATCCACATCATCACTCAGGTATCTCGTTTTAGCATCATGTTTCATGCTCTGGTTGTTTTTTGTTCTGTAACTTTCATTTTCAATCAGTTCTTGGTCCTTACTAGTAGCTCTGTCCTCAGCCAAAACTGCAGCATCTTCCTCTATATATGTGTCAGCAGGTGAATTTTTATTTCCATCAACTGTGATAGTCCCAGAAAATGGAGATCGGCTAGATTTCAGTAGAGAGGGATGAACCATTCTATAACCTAAAGTAGAAGTTATACCTGGGCCATTTGGTAAAGCCAACTTCTTTCCACCAGCAGCATAAGGCCTATTAAATCCATACCCCAAATGTTCATTCCCATTGAGTACTTCTGACTGCCGGGAATTTCTTGTTAGCATACTTGACCGTAGAGGCACTCTAATGGATAGCTGTTGGTTTTGATAAGGCTTTGTAAGATCCACTGCTCTATTAAAGGAATGTGATCTGGTTATAGATGAAGGTGGAAGGAATGAATTCTGAATGGAATGTGAAAAACTTTGTGACCTTACCATTTTTTCACAATTAATAGATTTACTACTGTGTCTGGGGATTAAGTTAGGCTTTCACCAGAACTGCTTCAGGTGGTACAGGAGTTTGCTCTAGGCCTTTGCATTGCTACTAGCCAACCGGTTTCCATAAAATCCGTTCAACTCCAAAATCCGTGATTTTGGAGTATTGACCAAAGAATATGAAGTCCTTCCTAATAATGTGCCTTTGGTAAATTTACCCAAATTAGACGGTACAGAAAAAGACTTTTGGTGTAACTCCTCTGTAGATGACATTAACATAGTGGATGGCTTTGCTAACTTTGATGTGAATAACAAAATACTTTTCAAACCTCCCTTTATCCCATTTTTATCAAACATTCTTTGAGTGGTAACATGTTTTTTAGGATCAATTATTTTATCGTGTGAATTGTGAGTATTGTTAGGATCTTCGGCACCTTGTGCACAAAGTTGGTATTTATTTGCTTTTCTCCAATTAAATGAATGAGATGATGAAGAGCCATTATTTTTGATGTAACTTTTGAGGTTACTATTCTTGGAAGTTCCTAATAAATTAACAGGTGTCCCATTTGGCATTGGCTGCAATATACTTCCTAGAGATTTTATTCCATACTTTGGCAACTTGGAACCCAAAAATGTCTTGTGTTTTTTGTTCCATGAGCTATAAGGTGCATTTGTTATTAAAATTTGACAGAATATGTGATGAGAAAAAAGAAGTACATTAAACATTCTTAAATAAGGATAATTAAATTATAATACGATACTTATACTTTTATATGCAGAAAAGCCCAAAAGCTACTCATGATTTCCACAGAACTCCTAGCAAATAATGAATGCACTAATTAATAACTTTATGTTGGAAGAAAATAAAGAACTTTTTTTTAACTTTTACAAACGTGTGCTATGAATGATGACTGCAAAATTCAGAAATAATAAAATCAAACTACCAAATTTGACTATGTAAAAAATAATACTTTCAGAGTATTTCTTCCAATTTCCAATCTAAGTAATTTTTTCATTTTGGGTAATAGTCTCTCCTTTAAAAATAAGAACATATGGAAAGCCACAGCCAGCACACTCAGGCAAGAGAATGAAATAAAGGGCATTCAGATCGGAAAAGAAGAAGTCAAACTATCTCTGTTTGCCAATGATATGATTATATATCTAGAAAATCCTACAGACTCTTTCAAAAGATTCCTAGATTTGATAAATACATTCGGTAAAGTCACAGGTTGCAAAATCAAAGTACACAAATCAGTAGCACACCAACAATGACTAACAATCAAGAACTCAATCCCTTTGACCATAGCTGAAAAAAAAAAGAAACCTAGGAATACACTTAACCAAGGAAGTAAAAGATCTCTATAAGGAGAAATGCAAAACACTTCTGAAAGAAATCACAGACAATGCAAACGAACGGAAATACATCCCACACTCATGCATTAGCAGAATAAATATCATGAAAATCACCACGCTGCCAAAAGCAGTCTACAGATTCAATGCAATTCATATCAAAATATCAACATCATTCTTCACAGAATTAGACAAAACAATCCTAAAATTCACATGGAGCCAAAAAACAGTACAAATAGACAAAGCAATCTTAAACAAAAAAACAAATCTGGAGCCATCACATTACTCGACTTCAAATTATACTACAAGGCTACTATAGTAACCAAAACAGCATGGTACTGGTATAAAAGTACATATATAGAGCAAAGAAACAGAGTAGAGAACCCAGAAATAAAACCCAATACAACCAACTGAACTTTGACAAAGCATACACAAAAAAAATTGGGAAAAGAACATCTTATTCAATAAACGGTACCAGGAAAACTGGATAGTCCCATGTAGAAGAATGAAATTGAATCCCTATCCCTTGCCTTATACAAAAATCAACCCAAGATGAATTCAAGACTTAAATCTAAGGCATGAAACCATAAAAATGCTACAAGAAAACCTAGGAAAAACTCTTCTACATATTAGTCTAGGCAAAGAATTTATGACTAAGACACCAAAAGAAAATGCAACAAAAAATAAATGGGACCTAATTAAACTAAAAAGCTTCTGCTCAGCAAAAAATAATCAAAGTAAACAGACAACCCACAGAATGGAAGAAAATATTTGCAAACTATGCATCTGACAGAAGACTGATATCCAGAATCTACAAGGAACTCCAACTAATCTGCAAGAAAAAAATAAAATAATCCCATTAAAAAGTGGGCAAATTACATCAATAAACATTTCTCAAAAGAAGGTATACAATGGCCAAGAAACATGAAAAAAAAGGCTCAACATCACTAATGATCAGGGACATGCAAATTAAAACCACAATGAGATATCACCTTATCCCAGCCAGAATGGCTATTACTAAAAAGTCAAAAAACAATAGATATTGGCATAGATGTGATGAAAAGGGAACATTTATATACTGCTGGTGGAAATATAAATCAGTAACACCTCTATGGGAAAAAGTATGGAGATTTCTAAAGAACTAAATCTACCATTTGATCCAGCAATCTCACTACTGGGTATCTACCCAAAGGAAAATTGTATTTAAAAAACAGCTGCATTAGGTATGTTTACTGCACAAAATTCAAAACTGCCAGATGTAGAACCAACCTAATTACCCATCAACTGATGAGTGAATTAAGAAATGTGGCATATATATATACCAAGGAATATTACTCAGCCATAAAAAAGAACGAAATTATGTCTTTTGAAGCACCGTAGATGGAGATAGAGGCCGTTATTCTAAGTAAAGTAATTCAGGAATGAAAAACCAAATACCATATGCTCTTACTTATAGTTGGGAGCTAAGCTATGGTTATGCAAAGGCATACAGAGAGGTATAATGGACATTGGAGACTCAGAAGTGGGGGGTGGTGGGAGGGGGATGAGAGATTTTTTTAAAACTACAGAATGTAGTAGGGTACAATGTACACTATTTGGGTGGCACCTGCACTGAAATCTAACTTGACTGCTATACAATTCAATCATGCAACCAAAAATCACCTGTTCCCTTAAAGTCAGTGAAATAAAAGTTAAAGAACATATATATTTTTTAATATATATAATTTTATAAAAGCTAGGAGACATTTGAAAAACACTAATTACTAAAGCCATGGGAAGTATATAGGTGAATAATGTAACAGTACCAAAAAAATTATTTTGGCATTAAGGGTTGAGTAATAAGCTGTCAATTTAGGCAAATATCTCAAAAGAATTTCCATCTGGTAACATAAATACACATTACAGTTAGTGCCAGGGTGAGAAATATAAAAATTTAATAAAGTTGATTTGTCCATAAATCTCAATCTTACACAATTTATTTTGCTTTATTTTTTGAGAAAAGGTCTCGCTCTGTCACCCAGGCCGGAGTGCAGTGGCATGATCACAGCTCACTGCAGCCTCCACCGCCTCGGCTCAAGTGATCTTTCCACCTTAGCCTCCCAGGTAGCTGGGACTAAAGGCACACAGTATCACATCCAGCTAATTTTTAAAATTTTTTTTTGTAGAGACAGAATTTCACTATATTATCTAGGCTTGTCTTGCACTCCTAACCTCAAGCAATCGTCCTGCCTTGGCCTCCCAAAGTGCTGGGATTAGAGGTGTGAGCCACCGCGCACAACTGGAATTTATTTTAACACAAAACTACAAAAACAAAAAGGTTTGATGCACACAAAAGAGCATAAACTAGAAACCACTAGTGTTCTCTATTTGAGTAACTTTTTAATAAATTATGTCCTATCATGTGATAAGATTATAAAGATGAGCTAGAATATTAAAATGTTTGTCTTAATATTAACAAAAATATATGGTTGCTATATGCTCATTGTAATTATATAAGAATTCTGTAAAAAAAACAAGGGAAAATGGAAATTTAAAGATGCCTTAGGGTCACTGATGTTTTTAATGTAGTGTATGACATTGTCTTTTTTTTTTTTTTTTTTTTTTAAGAGGCATGGTCTTGCTGTTTCACACAGCTAGAATGCAGTGGTGCAATCACAGATCACTGCAGTCTGAAACTCCTGGGCTCAAGTGATCTTTCTACCACAGCCTTCTGAGTAGCTAGGACTGACTACAGACGCATGCCATCATGGCCAGCTAATTTACTTTTACTTTTTATAGAGGTGGGGTTGCTATATTGTCCAGGCTGGTGTCGGATTCCTGCATTCAAGCAATCCTCCCACTTTGGCTTCTCAAAGTGTTGGGATTGCAGGCACGAGCCACTGCACTGAGCTAAATTGTTGTTGTTGCTGTTGTTGAGATGGAGTCTCACTCTGTTGCCTAGGCTGGAGTGCAGTGGCATGACCTCAGCTCACTGCAACTTCCATCTAGTGGGTTCAAGTGATTCCCCTGCCTCAGCCTCCTGAGTAGCTGGGATTACAGGTGCCTGCCACCATGCCCTGCTAACTTTTTATATTTTTTAGTAAAGACAGGGTTTCACCATGTTGGCCAGGGTGGTCTCGAACTCCTGACCTCAGGTGATCCACCCACCTCAGCTTCACAGAGTGCTGACATTACAGGCGTAAGCCACCACACCCAGCCAATTTTTTTTTTTTTTTTTCCGCTTCTTAAAACATTTTCTTTTTTATTGCATTTTAGGTTTTGGGGAACATGTCAAAAACAGTTGCATAGGTACACACATGGCAGTGTGGTTTGCTGCCTTCCTCCCCATCACCTATATCTGGCATTTCTCCCCATGTTAGCCTTCCCCAACTCTCCACCCACCGCTGTCTTTCCCCTATTTCCCCGCCAACTGACCCCAGTGTGTGATGCTCCCCTCCCTGTGTCCATGTGTTCTCATTGTTCTACATCCACCTATGAGTGAGAACATGCGGTGTTTGATTTTCTGTTCTTGTGTCAGTTTGCTGAGAATGATGGTTTCCAGGTTCATCCATGTCCCTACAAAGGACACAACTCATCGTTTTTGATGGCTGCATAGTATTCCATGGTGTATATGTGCCACATTTTCCCTGTCCAGTCTATCATCAATGGGCATTTGGATTGGTTCCAAGTCTTTGCTATTGTAAACAGTGCCGCAATGAACATTCGTGTGCATGTGTCTTCAAAATAGAGCAATTTATCATCCTTTGGATATATACCCAGTAATGGGATTGTTGGGTCAAATGGAATTTCTATTTCTAGTTCCTTGAGGAATCGCTACACTGTCTTCCACAATAATTGAACTAATTTAACACTCCCACCAACAGTGCAAAAGTGTTCCTATTTCTCCACATCCTCTCCAGCATCTGTTGTCTCCAGATTTTTTAATGATCGCCATTCTAACTGGCATGAGATGGCATCCCAATGCAGTTTTGATTTGCATTTCTCTAATGACCAGTGATGATGAGCATTTTTTCATATGTTTGTTGGCCTCATATATGTTTTCTTTTGTAAGGTGTCTGTTCATATCCTTTGCCCACTTTTGAATGAGCCTGTTTTTTTCTTGTAAATCTATTTAAGTTCTTTGTAGATTCTGGATATTTACCCTTTGTCAGATGGGTGGATTGCAAAAAATTTTTTCCCATTCTGTTGGTTACCGATTCAATCTAATGACTGCTCAACCCTGGCCTAAGAAGTAGAGTTCCTATAATACATAAGTGTTATTAATTATGTCAAAAGTAAATATTTAGAAAATCACACAAATGTTCAAGTAAAGATAGTAGAGTGAGAAAGGACTAAAGTATGTCCTGTTACCCACTAATATGATATAAATGCATATACATATGTGTATGTGATTTTTTTTTACCAGAAACCCAACAGCTACATACAATAATACAAAAAGCTATTTAAGCTAAGAACCCACAAACTTTAAAAAAAAGTAGACAGAAAAAAAAATCTGTATGATACAGTATGACAAGTAGCCTGATTACCGCCTGCAAGCAGCAGTGAGAAAGAAAGGTGAACTAAAAAACTTGAAAATTTTAAGAAATACCTCGTTTGGATAGAAAAATTTGATTTGTCATGCCCTAGAGAAGTTGAGGAAAATATCTTCAGCAGAGAGACTTCGAAACCTAGGCAGATGTATCACCAGGATCTGCCAACTTCTAAGGCCCTATGCTGAGTTGAGGGAAGGATCTGAAGCACATAGAAACATACTATACCCTCAGCAGTAGGAAATGAGACTGGTATAGAACATTTAACACAATCTAAGGAGATGGGTAAGTATAGGGCCACAGAAGAGCAAAAGCAAAGTCTTGACCTAGGTATCCAAATTAAGCCTGAGCAAGACAAAAAGAAATGGCCATACAACCATATAAACAGTTTCTTGTAACACAGAGCAACCTAATAAGAACAGGCATTTAATGAAAGAAAAGTCCAAAGATGAAAAGACAAAACCAGTAAATTAAAAAAAAAGGTTCTGGCATTAAGGAAATCATTAACAATGAATGGGAGGAGGGGGAAGCAAGGAAAAGAACTAAAGACTTAAACAAATGGCAAAGAGAAAAATCTCAAGATAACAAGAGTATTGAGGAGGCCAAGATGGTGGATCACGTGAGTCCAGGAGTATGAGACCAGCCTGGACAACTTGGCAAAACCTCAATACTACAAAAGAATACAAGAATTAGCCAGGCATGGTGGTGCACACCTGTTGTCCCAGCTACTCAGGAGGCTAAAATGGGAAGATAGATTGAGGCCACGAGGTCAAGGCTGCAATAAGCCATGATCACACCACTGCTGTGCTCCAGCCTGGGTGACAGAGTGAGACCCTGTATCAAAAAAAAAGAGAAAAGAAAAGAAAAGAAAAGGAGAAAGAAAGAAAGAAAGAAAGGAAAGAGAGAGAAAGAAAGAAAGAAAGAAAGAAAAGAAAAAGGAAGTTAAAAATAATTATTGAAGAGAAAGAAAACGACAAAGAAATCAAAAGAATTAGAAAAAAAATCTAGGACAAAGGCTGAACGAAGGATAATTAGTATCCCTCAAGTAGAACAATTAATTAAATGGAAGAGAAAAGGCAGAAGGATAGAATAGAGAATATCCCAAAAATAAAGGTGAAAAAAATCTATATAAGGAAAGAAAAAATATACCAAATCACAGATGGAAATATATATCCTAGTTAATGAAATACCAAGAATAAAGAAATAATTCTTCAGAAATACAAGCAGACAAAAGAAAATCACCTTTGAAAATTTTTTTAACTTGGAATATACAAAGGAAATTACTAGATATCCTCCCAAGAAATGCTGGGGACTCTAGGGATAACTTAACCCTATAGGAATCACATTAATTTTACCTTTAAAATTTGTTCTAAATTCACCATTTCCATTTCAGAATTTTAGTTCTTATGCTCATCATTTTTTCCTATACTACTACCAACGATTCCTACAGTTATGTTAAGATTCCAACCTTATTTCTATTCAAACTCAAGAGTTATCTTCTTGAAGCACAGATCTGGATCACATCATTCTACTGATTAAAAACTATGTGTGAGACTAGGAACAACAAAATAAAACCCAAAGCCCATTGTACAGGGAGAAAGCTGTATTTGCTTCTACCTTATCTTTGTTATGTACTTAAACCAAGATAAATTATTTGTCATTCCCCAAAATCCATCCTACACTTTCTATCTTCTATGCCTTTGCTAAAGACCACTTTGAAGATTCTATCCTCAAAGTCCAAAATCACCACATCCACCAATGTTTTCAGTAAAAATTAATCTTACATCATTCTCTATTCTCTTCCCAGCAATAATATAGCAGAGTCTGTCTTCTAATTATGTGCCTGTTTGACCCACAGGAAAGTAAACCTGCTGAAAACATAAACTGAGTCCTATATACTGTACTTTGAGGCCAGCTACGGGACTACAAATTTAATAGATCCTCAACTTATAGATAAATTCATAATGTCTTAATGCACATTATTTAAATAAGTAATATAAGTAAGGAAAGACTAAAAAAGAACTTTGTTTCGTGAACCTATGATTGACTGGTAATAGCTCCCTTGAGCAATATGTTGAAAAGGATTCTGAGATCGGGCACAGTGGCTCACGCCTGTAATCCCAGCACTGTGGGAACCTGAGGTGAGAGGATCACTGGACCTCAGGAGTTGAAGATCAGACTGAGCAACATAGTGAGACCTCATCGTGCCACTGCACTCCAGCCTGGGCAACAAAGCAACACTCCATCGCAAAAATAAATAAATAAATAGAGGCTGCTGCACCTGCTGCTGCCGCGGGGGCTGCGGCTCGGGAAGCTCTGCGCTTCCGCAGGCCTGGCCTATGCGGCCCAGGCCCCCGCCGCCCGTCTCTGGACCCCGCCCGGGTCCCGAGCGCCGCCCGAGGCCCCGGGCCCCGCCTCGCCCTCGCCTACAGCCCCGCGCTGCGGCCCGCCACCGCTACCACCACTGCTGCTGAGGCTATCCCAGACGCGACGCCCGCTTGCACAGTGACCATGGAGCGCCCCGGAGCGGGAGGAATTAATTCCAATGAATGTGAAAATGTATCAAGAAAAAAGAAAATATCAGAGGAATTTGAAGCCAATACTGTGGATTTCCTGGTAGATATGCCATTTGCTACTGTAGATATTCAGGATGACTGTGGAAGTTTTTGAGGCACGGTCTTGCTCCGTCATCCGCAATGGATTGCAGTGGTGTGATCGCGGTTCACTGCGGCCTTGACCTCCCGATCTTGAGCGGTCCTCCAACTTCAGCCTCTTGGTGGGAGTCCCAGCTGCTTGGAGAGGCTGGGGTGGGAGTTCAAGATTGCAGTGAGCTGTGATTGCATCACTGTACTCCAGCCTGGGTGACGGAGTGAGATTCTGTCTCAAAACAAAACCAAAACAACAAAAAAGAACTATTCAGGACAGTTCCTCATTTTCCATACTCATGAAAGTCACTGATGAACCTCAGATAAATTCGGAGAGAAGTAAAGAAAAAGAAAGGATCAAGAGTGATCGAGTAAAGAAGAGGAAACCAAAGCGAAAAGATTACCAACCCAACTATTTCCTGTCCATTCCAATCACCAACAAAGAGATTATAAAAGGAATTAAGAGCCTGCAAAATACAGTAATACAACAAGATAAGCGACTGGCCCAAACAATGGTCAGAGATGGTTCCTTTCATATTACCCTGCTGGTGATGCAATTATTAAATGAAGATGAAGTAAACATTGGTATTGATGCTCTTTTGGAATTGAAACCATTCATAGAAGAACTCCTCCAAGGAAAACATTTGATTTTGCCCTTTCAAGGAATTGGCACTTTTGGAAATCAGGTTGGATTTGTGAAGCTGGCGGAAGGCGATCATGTAAACTCACTTTCAGAGATAGCAAAGACTGCAAATAGGACATTTCAAGAAAAAGGCATCCAGGCAGGAGAGAGTAGAAGTTTTAAGCCTCATTTGACCTTCATGAAGTTGTCAAAAGCACAGTGGCTCCGTAAGAATGGAGTGAAAAAAATAGATCCTGATTTATATGAAAAGTTTATCAGTCAGAGATTTGGAGAAGAAAAATTATATCGCATAGATCTTTGCTCCATGGAGAAGAAAAAACAAAGTAATGGTTATTATCACTGTGAATCTTCCACTGTGATTGGCAAGAAACCTATTGGAATTCAAGAATTAATTAATGAAGCTTTGCATCGAGAAACGATGGGCCTGAAGTCCAAAGTGAAATAGATAAAGGAGCTTTTATTAAAGCCTGAGACTCAGGCCAAAATTAGGAGGGAGCTTTTTGAAGGAAGACTTATTAATAACAGTAATCCAGCAAATGATGCTATTTTCAGCACAACTTTGACATAAGCTCTACATTGCAACTGTGGCAACATAGTCTCTGAAATCTTTCCAGTTTACTAAGTAGCTCTTTGGTAAACACCAAAGAAGTTTCTGATAGTGTCTGCACAACAGCAAAACCAACATTTGGTGGGGAATTAGCAATTTCTTGCCAAAGAAAACTGATTCTGCCCTGTTATTTTTTGAGCTAAACTTGTGTTTTAGAATGTCTGTTTCTGTGATATTGAGAGTTATTTAATACAAATGATTTCTTAATTAGCTGTTGTGAGATATTTCTCGGGTCCTTGCAGAAAAAAATACAGACTGTGAAGAAATCATTCACAAATAGAACAAAACAGAGCCAACGACAGTATTTGAAGAGTCACTTGCCTCCTGTTGACATGATTGTTGCTAAATCAAAAGAAGCATTGTCCAGGTGTGTCTATATCTAGTATTACTTTTAATGAGAATTTGAATGTTTATTGAACAATAGTATTTGAATGAACATTTATAAATGTAATTATTGTGATCACTGTTTAAGAATGTTTTATATATCCTTATAATATTTTTCACTGATCAAAATGTAGTTTGTTTTTTCATTTCTTAAGGAATTCATGTTTGGGATTTTTATTTTTTACATTTCTGAAGATAAGCTCCAGGTCTTATCATATCCCTTGTAATCTGAATGTGTTTGCACTGGTTTGGTTTTAAAGAGCATTCTGGAAAAACTTTCCCTGGTATGATGATTATTGGTAACAGTTTTTTCTATAGTCATTGCAAGATGGCTGCTACCAATAGATCATGATGGAGGGGAAATCACTGGAGATCAAATATGTAAAAATCATTTCAAATATAAAATCCAATTTACTCATGGATTTTAGCTATTTTTTCACTGAGTAAATTATACTACATTTATTTACAAATGAGTTTATGCATTTTCATGGCTCTTAATAAACATATTATTTTCCCATAAATAAATAAATAAAAATTAAAAATTAATTAACATTAAAATTTTTTAAAAAAGGATTCTGAGGTCAAATCTAGCTCCTGAAGTAGTCACATGATCAAGCAGCAATGTTTGCCAGGAGCAGAACAAGGGACAGTGGCAATATCCATGCCACACAATTGTCTTCTTCATTTTTGATAATGGTCTTTTCTACAAAACATACTCCATATCCACAACCACTTTCAGTATAAACATAAGAAAACTGGTAATGACATTACATATTAGGGTCATTTTGCAAATCAATAAATAATACATGTTAAAGATTAAACAGCCTGTGAGTCAGAAAGGCTTTAACATTTCCCTGCCTGTCACAAGTAGAGCATGGAAAGAAAATTCTACCCTTTCCCTTCTCTATACCTCTATTTTCCTGCCTAAGATGAGGGTAATACATGTTATCTCCCAAGAGCATCTTAAGCCTTAATAACTTAGAGGCACAAGATGAGCCCAAAAAACAGATGAACTGTTACTAGTGTTTGTGGCTGTACCACTTTGTGGGGGAAAGGAATAATGTTAGAACCTGAATGTGCTATTCTCTATGAAGAATACTTACCGATTTCCAAATGTACAAATAATTTCAACACAAATGATATCAATCATCTTGAACTTTGGTCTTAAGATAAACTAGTCTGACAGCTCCACTATAAAGTTTACGTTATGAATATTATCATTTCATTTGATGAGCTACCTACTGTCTTCAAATGTTCATGAAACTTTCCCTTACATTTGCTTATACTTTTGAAGTAAAATAAACATTGTAATTCTGCCTCATTTTGGTAGCCATGCTGTCTTTCATGCACTTTACCTAATTTGTAATCTGTTAGGTGTCTAAAAAATGCATTCATTAACAATTTGAAAAAACATGTTGTCTACATCATCTAATGATATAATCTTCTATGAGACACTTTAATACCATCTGTGAGCTTTAATTTAATGATGAACTATGACTAATATTTGGTACAGTACTTGGAAATATCTGAGTCTTTTTAGTTTCTATAAAAATAATTTTTTTAAAGTATAGCACATTTATAGTATTGGTATTTCATATTTTAAAATTTTTTTTCAGGCCAGGCATGGTGTCTCACACCTGTAATCCCAACACTCTGGGAGGCTGAGGCAGGCAGATCACCTAAGGTCAGGAGTTTGAGACCAGCATGGCCAATATGGTGAAACCCTATCTCTACTAAAAATACAAAAATTAGCCAGGTATGGTGGTACACACCTGTACTCAGAAGGCTACTCAGAAGGCTACTCAGAATCCCAGCTACTCAGAAGGCTGAGGCACAAGAATCACTTGAACATGGGAGGCACAGGTTGCAGTGGGCCGATATCACACCATTGCACTCCAGCCTGGGCAAAAGAGCAACACTCCACCTAAAAAAAAAAAAAAAAAAAAAATTGAAAACTACTTATAAATGCCTTTTTTGAAAACTGTAAATCAGGTTTCTTGCTTTTAAAAGGAATCTACAACTGGATAAGGGAAAAGCAGAAGCAAATATTATTAAGCACTTACATGACAGGTACCATGCTTACCACTTCATCCTTATTATTTAATCTTCATAACATTATAAGGTAGTAAATTTCATCCCATATTAAATAGCTAAAACAAAGATTCAGAGAGGCAAATATACTTGTCTAAAGTCACAAATTCATACACTGTCAAAGAGGATTCAGGTTCAAGTTTACCTGATTCCAGGGCCAATGAAAACTGCCTTCGTTGACAAAGGAATGAAATACAGTCAATGAGCCACATAATGATGTTACAGTCAATGATAGACTACATTTACAACAATGATCCCATGAGATTATAGTGGAGCTGAAAAATTCTATAACCTAGTGACATGGTAGCCATTGTAACACTGTAATACAATTACTTTATTTTTTACATATATAGTGTATCCTGTGTGTACAGTGTTTATAAAGTCTACACTAGTGTGCAATGATGTCTTAGGTCTTCACATTCACTCACCACTCACTCACTGACTCACCCAGAGCAACTTTCAGTTCTGCAAACTCCATTCAAGTGCCCTATACAAGTATACTATTTTTTCTCTTTTATATAGTATTTTTATTGTAACTTTTCTACATTTAGATGAACAATTCTGTACCATTGTGTCACAAGTGCCTGTAGTATTCAGTACAGTAACATGCTGTATAGGTTTGCAGCCTATGAGCAAGAGAGTATACTATATAGCCTAGGTGCATAAATAGGCTATACCGTCTGGGTCTGTGCAAGTATACTCTATGCTGTTCGCAGAATGACAATGGCCTAAGGAGGCATTTCTCAGAAAAGATCCCCTTCATTAAGCAATGCATGCCTGTATTCTGAGAAGCTTACTGACAGCAAGGGACAAGAATGAAGGAAAGGACTGAATAGTTAGTGTCAGAGGAGAAGCATAAAGACTGCAAAGGGCCTAGATATTAGTTACAGACATTTTGCAGAACAGTAAGAGCCATTACTTTTCAAACTCCTTTCATATCCATTACCTCATCATCTGAGGAACCACCCACTCACTCTTCTTTTTTTAGTTTTTCAAATACTTTTTTACAAGGTATAAATTGTCTGCATTTTAGGGATTTAAACAGACATAAATTCACTACTAAGTACAAGAGCAATTAACTGAACAACAACACTGATGACTATACATGTATAAGCAGTTACTTCTGAAATCTGCTTTCCCCTTCAGATAACTAGGTCAGAATTTAAAGTGATTTTTTTTTAACCTTATGTTACTCAATTACTTCTTTCCTATCCCCTTTCACACTTTTCCTAGCTGTCATCTGTGGCATAATTCAAAGGCTTGATTATAGCAACTAAATAAGCAAAATTGACAACTTTAGCCAAAGTAAAGGTTTAAAACTTAATTCCAGATTCTTCAAGGCTTTAAAGAGGACATGCCATGCTCAACACAAAGCCTCATTATTATATCAATTTGACCTTTCTGTTCTCCAGCTACAACTTCATTTTCACTCACTTAAATGGAGTTCAAAGTAACTTGCAAAAGTTAGGCTCAAAATAATTTGTGGTTTAACAACATTAAATAAGATTATTATACAGATCCAATATACATTACTTCCTGAAATTTCAATTTATAAAACAAAAATACTAAGAAATAAAGAGAAACCAGAAGTTCCCCTGGTTAAACCATAAAAATTTGTCCCTCTAAATCTTACCAGTTGGCACAGGAACACAAACTCAAATACCTGTAGGGCATGCAAATGTCATTAATGTGCAGGGGGCTAGGAAAAGATGACACGTGCCAAACTACACGAATACTAAGCCATATACTGCCTTTTAAAATACTAGACAGGTCTAACAGTACAGGCATTTTACAAACACTGGGTCAAATCACAACAAGCAAACATTTAACATTTCAGTCTACATAAGATCTGCTTCAGCAAAGTTCCCTCAATTAAATTAAATGGGCAGTAAGGAGAGGGCAGTAGGAGCTCCAGCATCAGGGAGAAGAGTAACAGGAGTAACATTAACATGGATGGAAGACTACTAGGCCATAAATTCACTAATGGCACATACTGGGTTTGATTCACCAGAACACATTACTCAACCCCAAGCTTGCTCAGTACATGACAAACAGTAAATACCTAAACATGAAACATTTTATAAAGAATGACATACATTAGAATTATAGTTTCATAGAAAGATACTAGCAGTAGTTTTTACATAATAGAATACAACATGGCAATGAAGACCTAATTATTGCTATATGTAACAATACAGATAAAACTAATAGGATCCTTTAAACAGGATCCAGAGACTTGAGAGGAAACTGGTGTGGTTCCATTTATATGAAGAATCCTATAAACAGACTCCAGAGACTTGAGAGAAAAAATGGTGTGGTTCCATTTATATGAAGGTCAGATTTCCATTTTCAATGTAAAAAGCTGCAATTAATATCACTCTTACCTAAAAACCTGGAAGAGCCAGATAATCTTCAAAATCATAACCTTTCATAAGCCCATCAGAAAGTTGGTATTATAAGGCAACCAAGTTGACGAAATTGCAAAGGGAGACATGCCACTCCAAGGAGAGATGGGACATTTACAGTTTCACTTTTGGCTGAGCATAAGAGACAGAAATGACCACCATAACAAGAAGTAATAAGCTAACATTTTAATGTTGGCTTAAAAGCCAAATGTGGACTAGCGCAACAGGAAGCTCTTCCACATGGGCCTCAACCTAGGGCTCAAGAGAAAAATATGGGAAAGCCCCCTCTTAAAGGCACACACATGCAGGAGGTGATCAAAGGCTGCACTGGGACAAACATAAAGCTTCTCACTTTCCTGACTCCTCCTGTCCTCTGAAGCAAAAGCCTTATACTACTGGGGAAGGAGCAGCAAGACTTCTCACCCAGGAACAAAGGAAAAAATCCACTCCCTCTGGGGGAAACAGAATGGAATGTGAGAAATGTTCAGTTGATCGATTTATGTGAGAGTAAGGTCACGAACTGATTAAACTAATTAAGATAATATGTGTTAGAATAGACCAGTGGTTCCACAGTGGTTGTGTGTATCAGAATCACCTGGAAGACTTCATTAAAATAAGATCTCTGAACTCCACTCCTAGAGTTTCTGAACCAACATATCTAAGGTAAGGCCTTAGGAAAATGTATTTTTAACAGTGTCCAGGTGATGTTGATTCTGCCAATCTGGAGTTCATATGTTGAAAATCCCTGTGATAGAGATTAACTCTGCAGGAGGTGGCTAACTGAAAAGGTGTTGACTGAGAAGTTGGCAGCTTGATCTGGATGGTGTAAAATTCACCAAGAGTATATCATTTAAGATGTATGCATTTTATTCTATGTAAGCTATACCTCATTTTTTTAAGTTTCACTTAAAAAATTAAGACTTCAAACTGCTTCTAATGCTATAAATAGTAAAAATGAGCCTTACTGCTGACAACTTATTCTACAAATTGATAAAGGAATTAAGCATGTATCCTGCTCTTCTCGTACTTCAACGCAATCAAAAGATTGACAGAAAATCTTTATAGAAGAACCACAACTAGTAAGTACTGAAAAAATGATGGAATCACAAAGTAAGAAAATCTGAAACACTCCATTAAATACCAAAACACCTCTCTAAAAAGGAAATGTGACAGTTAAAACTGAAACTATTAAAAGCTGAGTGGTAAATAACACTAGGGTTTAATTATGCTGTTTTCTCTACTCATTATGTTCGAAAGCATCCATATATTTCCATTTAAAAAAGTAAACTCTGGCTGGGCATGGTGGCTCACACCTGTAATCCCAGCACTTTAGGTAGCTGAGACAGTTGATCACTTGAGGTCAGGAATTCTGTACAAACCTGGCCAACATAGTGAAACCCCATTTCTACTGAAAAAACAAAAATTAGCTGGGCGTGGTAGCAGGTCCCTGCAATTCCAGCTGTCTGTATCTCAGGGATAACACAAATGGTTTCATAGAGGAGGCAATGCTTGAGCTGAGCCTCAAAAGATAAACAGTAAATAGAAATAAAGACACTGAATGTGAAAAACAATACAGCCTGAGAGCATAAAGAAAAGTATAAAACCCAGATTCCGCCAAGATGGCCGAATAGGAACAGCTCCAGAGCACAGTTCCCAGAGACAGAGAGAGAGACACAGAGGATAAGTGATCTCTGCATTTCCAATAGAGGTACCAGACTGATTTCAATGAGACTGGTTGGACAGTAGGTGTAGCCCAAGGAGGGCAAACCAAGGCAGGGTGGGGTGCTGCCTCCCCAGGGAAGTGCAACCGACCGGAGGATTGAGGAATTCCCCATACCCCTGCCCTGCACTCCGGTTCAGATACCAAACTTCTCCCATGGCCTCTGCAACACACAGACCAGGAGATCCCCACCA